ATAATTCACCATAGTCTAAAATGTCCAGATTTCAAACCAATTTAGCCAAAAAATTATTAAACAGAAGTACCACAACAGTTATTGTTAAATTATACAGTCTAAGCTACTGAATAAATAGCCAGGAAAACATTACGGGTTATATGCCCAACAACAAACAAACCTATCAAAAATATACACTTAAAGACACACACTTTTATTTAAGAAAAGAAACGTGATTCACATATAACTATCAATTAATTTTCCACATAATCAAGTAAAAAATAACTTGATTATTTTAATAATTTCACAAGCTTCACAAATTATAAATATTGTTATCTTGGTAAATTTGTTTCCCATATTTTTACCACTTGCACTGTCAATTTGTGCATGAAAGTTTGGCAAGTCGCATGCGTTTCCAACAGCATCCAAAATTGCTCGGTCCTTTTCAGGGACCCAACCAATTTGTTGTTCTCCTGCCTCAGCTAGACAAAACAACCCAATACCATACTGAGAACCATGTGCTAAGGTCCTTCGTAGAAATACTTCTTTTCCACTCTGTCCAACTATTTTTCTGGCCGCAGAAAACTTCGACGCCCCAGTTATAGGGAATCTAATCTTTTTGAAAGATCTTTCTCCACTGTTRATCCGATCATGAGGACCTTCCAAGGACTCGCTTGTTTCTAACCTGCAGTGCTTCATCAAAAAAAAATTAGACAAGTTTAAATTTTAGCCTGGTGGTAGTATTACAGGTTTAAAAGCATTAATCGTTACCTTAGAACTGTCCAGAAACTAACGAATCACGACGAAATTGTCCAAGCTGATAAGTGGCTCTATAGTCTCCGCCATTTTAATTCTCCCAATAACCTTTGCGCCGCTCACTAGTTTCCATGCCTCGAAGTTGGGAGCGAAACAACATTGGAGGGATTCTCTCGCCAAGTACGCCCATACTATCTATTACCGAGAAATTTCCTTTACTTCACCTCGTATTGTGTCAATGGTAGGATTTTCTTTCCGCAACGCATGTACGTAACCAGTCAATAGACACAAGACGGACTTTTTCTATGGGTGTGGATTGAAAGAATTTCTCTGTACACTTTCCAGCAGGCTCGCGTGCGTGTTGACAAAACTTAAGTCATGTGATCAAATATGAATGGCGGCTACGTTTACTGTAAAAGGCTTTTCTCGGCTTAAGAGTTGTTCATGTATGTTGATCATCAAACTGACGAAGATGAAATGTACAAAAACACTATCAAAGTCTTAAGATAGATAAATATTTACGCCTTTAATAGGTTCGTCGAGCTACAAAGTTCAAATGTTTTCAGTTGGTCGAATACCATGGTGGAAGCTGAGTTTGTACAGATCAATGGGTTTATGCGAGGGAAATGGCTCACTTTTGTCACTCTTTTACTCTGGGTAAGTTAAGTGGATAAACTTTAGCTTCAGTCAAGTTTAGTTGAATTTTGATGATGTTATTTTCACTGCTCAAGGTATAAGTGAGTGGCAAGAATTGAGCCTTTCGCCAGAATACCTTTCTATCGTTTTATCTTGATGATCTGGTACTGTATGTTTGATTTGATTCAATATTTATTCTATCCTGATGATAATACACTGTGTCAACCCTTTTATCAACTTTTTCATCATGAAATACAAGACAGAATGATATTTTGTTGAAACAGAAATGCTGTTTGAGTAAGAAAATGGAAGAGTATACATTGTCATTTTTCCTACACCAGCATTGTCTACATGTCGGAATTACCCATACTTGCATAGGGGCTAGACAGGGGCGTGACTTTTTTCACATGGGATTTCCATGTATATGGAAGCCATTGCCCCCTCGCAATAACAATAATTGAACTCATAGTCGATTGCAGGGTTATCTCGCCCCTTGCCAACCGATACTCATGTTTACACCTGGAAAAGGTGAGGCACTTTGAGCTTACAGTATCTTGCCCAAGAACACAATACAATGCTCCAACACTAGACACCAAACCTGGACTCATTTCGAGTCCAGTGCACCCACCATTCAGCCACCATGCCTCCTCCTCTGATCCTTAAGGTTAAAGTGGAGTGAATGGGGTCAATTGGGATTAGGGTGGAACCCTTATAACATTGGATAACTAATAGCAACTTAAGACAACTTAAGGCGACTTAAGGCGACTTAAGGCAACTTAAGGTCACAGAGCAGGCCTAACCTACGATCCAGAACCAATCAATAGTCATCTCTATTGGTTAAGCGAGAATGACTAGATTCGATGGAGATCATATATTGTTAACTATAGGAGTTTCGACTGAAAGATATCAGTCTGTGCGAAGTTCAGTGGGCGAATTTTCACAACGCAGTTCGGAGGCGATCTATTAAAATTACACTCTTCTTTCTGGTCCCGTGTAGAATTTAAATGAACTAGTTATTTGCGTAGCATACAGTTGGTAACGATCTTGAAACAAATGAAGTCGTCCCAAAGACGTCAAGTCCAAGAAAGAAAGTCCATAGCCATAGGTGACATCGCAATTTAGTTCTTTATGCTGAAACAGGTGGCAATAATCTTGCTTTAGAAAACATGTCCGTTTACAAACATTGTTTTTGTCATTCAGGGTATAACCTAAAAATGTATTAGGTCAAATTAAGTTTGCGCCAGGAGTTTCTGTTTCAAACGTTTTAAGTGATTCTCTTTCGCTGCTTGCAAAGTTTTCTACCTGCCGAAAGGACAATTTCTGAGAGCCCTCAACAACCCTGAACACCCAAAATCAAAGCACTGCGACATGCTCCTCTACCATTGACAGTTTTATTACATTTCTTAAAACTTATTTGTTCCATATCTTCTTTAAAAAATGCGTACACAAAGGGGTTTAGCGTAGAATTGGCCAAAATTAGTAATCTTACTGCCACTTTTTCATGGTTACACACATCACAAAGATTAAATTTATCCCAGATTTCCCAATGGATAGCTATTCCGTAACATGCCACGAATATAAAGACAAGCACTGTTACCAAACTCACTGTGGATACCTTTAATCCGGCATTTCTAACTTCCTTTAGTTTCACAGACTTTGCTGCTACGTTGAGTCGAACTTCAGTATTTTAAACAACTTTCGTCTCGTGAGAGTGTTTGCGAGCAATTAATAGGATGTGAAAATGTGGCGCGCAAAGAAATATTGTTGGTAACACTCGGAAGAGCACGATGGAAATGGAACCAAGTATAACCTTTTCTGCGGCGGATAGTTAGCTTTTGGCAAGATCAATGATGAGGTCGCAAATTATCGCAACTGTCCAACAGGTCGCAATAATAATGACTACGTTTCTCGTCTTCAATAAAAGGATATATTTTAAGGAATAAACGTTAGCGATATAGCGTTCAATAACCATGGCGGTGAAGCAAAAGACAGAAGCTCTTATGAAGAAGTAAGCTATTATTCGGCTAACGTCGTTGTTGCATGTATCCACAAGCACATTGCAGATCATGACCACTGGGAAATATCCACAAGTAACACCCAGATCGGCCACCGCCAAGGAAAGGATGAACCAGTTGGCTGTTGTTTGTGATCTTCTTCTTCTCGCTATGACGAAAGTATCCCAGCTGTTTCTCACCAGGCCAAAGAAAGTGAAAAACCAACCTACGATCCAGAATCAGTCAATAGTCATCTCTAGTGGTTTAGCGAGTTTAACTAGATTCGATAGGGAGCATTTACTGTTAATTAACTACAGGAACTTCGACAAAAAGATATCAGTCCATGCAAAGTTCAGCGGACGAATTTTCACCATGCAGTTCGGAGGCGATCGTTTTAAATTACACTCTCCTTTCTGTTTCCGTCATGAATTTTAACAAACTAGCTATATGCGTAAAGGAAAGCTGATGACGTTCTTGCATTGAAACTGAAGTCCATCCCAAGAATGTCACTTCCAAGAAAGGAGTCTATAGCAATAGGTTAGATCACTAATATAATCTACTTTGTTGTCACATTTT